AAGAAACCCAGCCTCAGATGACAGTCTTAAGAGACCCAGCTTCAGACGAAAGTCTTCAGATACCCAGCCTCAGACAAGTCTTCAGAGACCCAGCCTCAGACAACATTCTTCAGAGACCCAGCCTCAAACGACAGTCTTAAAAGACCCAGCCTCAGTCAAAAGTCTTGAGACCCAGCCTCAAACAGTCTTCAGAGAACCAGCCTCAGGTGACAATCTTCATACACACAGCCTCAAACGATAGTATTAAGAGACCCAGTCTCAGATGTCAGTCTTAAGAGACCCAACCTCATGCGACAGTCTTAAGAGACCCAACTTCAGACAACTGTCTTTAGAGACCTATCCTCAGACAGTTGTTAAGAGACCCAGCCTCAGACGACAGTCTNACCCAGCCTCGGAAAACAGTCTTCAGAGACACAGCATCGGACGAGAGTTTTAAGAGACAGTGCCTCAGACCACAGTCTTCAGGGACCCAGCCCCAGATGACAGTCTTCAGAAACCCAGCCTCAGACGACAGTCTTAAGAGACCCAGCCTCAGACAGTCTTCAGAGACACAGCCTCAGACGACAGTCTTACGAGACACAGCTTCAGAGGATGGTCTTCAGACACCTAGCCTCAGACAAGTCTTCAGAGACCCAGCTTCAGACAACATTCTTCAGAGACCCTGCCTCATATGACATTCTTCAGAGACCCAGCCTCAGACGACATTCTTCAGAGACCCAGCCTCAAACGACATTCTTCAGAGACCCAGCCTCAAACGACAGTCTTAAAAGACCCAGCCTCAGTCAAAAGTCTTAAGAGACCCAGTCTCAAACAGTCTTCAGAGAACCAGCCTCAGGTGGCAATTTTCATATATACAGCCTCAGAAGACAATCTTAAGAGACCCAGTTTCAGATCTCAGTCTTCAGAGACACAGCCTCAGATGACAGCCTTAAGAGACCCAACCTCAGANTTATGCTTTTTAAACGAACTACARTGCTCTGAAAAACAGATGGATGTGCTGTGACTCTTTCACAGATGAAGTAATGAAGGTAAATGACCACGAACAGACGAGCTAAAATGACTTTAGCCTATTATTTTATTAGCCTATTATTTTATTGCCACCGTTGTTTTGTTGCGCGCGTGCTCGCCTGGATAGAAAATAAAAACTAAACAGAGTGAGACCTCTTCGTTCCGGTGCAGTAACAAAAAGCCACACACCTGGCCWGGTGAGCTTAGTGACAGCTCTTCCAGCTGACTCTCGGCAGTAATGTGACTCTGGTSTCCATCCATTCAGTTGAGGAAACTCGGAAATAAAAGTTCTTCTAGAAGATTTTTTTTTCCTCCTGTCAGCTGCTCTTTGACGATCTTCGATTATGGATAAACTAAAATCGGTTTTAAGTGGTGAAGAGTCGAGAAGAGACGACCGGACCGTTTTACAGGTAAAATAAATAAATAAATAACTCTCTAAATGTTTGCTCATCCTGGGTTATCAGTTCGATCAGTTGAGTGAAAACTGTTTTTTCCTGCAGACCATGGACAAAGCCACGTCTTTAAGCTGGGCCACGCGGATAAAAGGATTCGTCGCGTGCTTCGTGATTGGAGCTGCGTGCACAATTTTGGTGATTATATGATGAAGATGAAGCGAAATTTTTAACAACAGTTTGTTGCTCTGCTCATTGAGGAAGAGTCCAGGTAGAGCTGATGCGGTTCTACTGGTTCTTCTTGCTCAGAGGAATGTGGAAGAAGAGATGAATAACTCCTCCTTCAGCTGAAGTGAATCACCTGATCTCACCTGCTGGTTTGCTTGTTTTTATTTATTAATTAATTTATTTTTGTTTACAGGGAGTATGTGTCCTTTTTCTGCCCAGGATTGGTATCACTCTCTTCATTGTCTTCTACTCCTTTGGAAACATTTGTGCTCTTTGCAGGTAAAAGCCGTGATGTTTTGATTGTATGGTAGATTTATCAAGTCAAGTTTATTGTGTTAAAACATGATGAAAGCTAAGTTTGTTCCTCAGGTACCAATACACCTGATTATAAATACCCTAAACCAGGGGTCTGCAACCTTTGTGATCAAAAAGAACTGAGGACTGCACGTGAAAAATAGCCTTCTGGTTGATTCTGGCATATTTACAGAAATGTTATTAATATGCACTGTCAAAAAAAAAAAAGCATTTCTGCTCCTTGGCTCACTAATAAAATGTGTCCAGARCCACAAAACAAGCTATTATCAATTGCTGGTCCGTGGGCTTTTTCAAGGCCTTTTCAGGAACCTTTACGGCCAGTGGAGGTGACAGTATAAAACTAAAAAAATACTGTGAATTTTATTATTTACTATTATTTTTACACATCAGGACAAATGACAAGACTATATTCATGAAAACAAGAAAAATACCATATATAGTTTATAATGAATTGCGTAAAAACTAGTACAACTGAACTCTTCAGGTATATTTTGGATCTAATTGTTGTTATTGAGTCTTCAAATCCTTTAAARGTAATTCTGATGGATTTGAGAGAAAGATCATAAAAAGAAGTTGGATCACTTACATAACAGGCTAGCGTGTTTTACATTTTGTATTAGTATTGATCACATATTTGCATACGTATTGATTTATATTGCGGGTATAAAAACACACAAACAAACAAAAATATTTTGTCATGTTTGGTCACATTTTCAAAGGGCCTCTGCTGAGGGACCAAAGAGCCACATGTGGCCCCAGAGCCGCAGGTTGCAGACCCCTGGGCTAAACTTTCAATAAACAAACTACATTTTGTAATTTAAAATCRTGTAATTAAAACACAACAATAACAATGGGTCAACCCAGATTTCACAATCCTCACAGTTTGAGGGTGGGAACAGGAGAGCATCCTGTCTGAGGGAGAACAGCTCAGCGGCAGGGGGAGGTGGGTGGGTCTGAGCAGTTTCATCTTTTTTTTTTGCAGTGGTCAGGTCACTCCACCACACACTGCTTCAACCTCCTTGTAAAATAAAACACGGCWGTAAAAACCTTTTCCACTGCGCTGGATGTTTGCAGCTCACGTGAGGTCAGTGGACAGGCACAGGCCCAGGATCACCTGCTCTACAGCCCCTCCCCCAGGGAAGAACATGTGCCCTCCTAAAGTCCATCACTGTCTCTCGTTTGGTTTTGTGGGTGACACAGTGGCTCAGTTGGTAGAGAAAGAAGGCCGCCGGATCAAATCCTGGACTGGGACCTTTCTGGGTAGAGTTTGCATGTTCTCTCYGTGCATGCGTGGGTTTTCTCGGCGTACTCTGGTTTCCTCCCACAGATCAAAAACAGGCATGTTTGGCTAACTGGTAACTAAATTGTCCCTTGGTGTGAGTAAGAGAGTGAATGGTTGTTTGTGTCCCTGTGATGGACTTGCGACCTGTCCAGGGTGAACCCCGCCCCTCGCACTGTGACTACTGGATATGGGCACCAGTGACCCTGAAAGGAAGAAGTGAGTAAAAGATAAGGGATGTTTGATTTTGTTTTATTGATGCACAGCAGTGGTGGAGACAGTTAACCAAAAYGTTAGCTTCACTAACCGCCATTTCACTAACTAAAAATTCAGCTTATCAAACGCAAAAGCTCTAAACACAGGGCTCTCAAGGGTCACGCATCTGAGCTCTCCACACACTCTCACACCACACCCCCACTTTGTCACGCTGAGAACTGACTAACTGCGGTCCACTTTTTTGTTTTAAAAACATATGTATTGATATAAATGATCCACCCAACGTTTTCACCACAACCCGTGGTGTTGCACACAGGGACATGCCATGTTCTTATCCAGTCCGTATTTTCACACAAACCTCTCTACCTGTAAAGAGTGGCTCTGTGGAGCGCAGCCCGATGTGCTCCCTCCCACATTAAAACAGAGAAGGAAAGGAGGTATGATTGTTGTTATCAATATTTGCAGCTGAACAGACCAGTTCAGAGTTTGAATCCAGTCATAGAAGTGAAGAAGAGGAGGAGAGGGAGCAGGACCMACAAAAAAACAGTKCCAGCTACTTTAGTTTTCAATCAGCATTTGCTTTAATTTTTATGAAAATCTGCTTGTTTAATTAGCTTTTATAAACTGATTTTTTTTATTTNAACAGTCCTAAGAGACTGCCTCAGATGACATTCTTCAGAGACCCAGYTTCAGACAGTATTCAGAGACCCAGCCTCAGACGACAGTCATAAGAGACCCAGTCTCAGTCTTCAGAGACGCAGCCTCAGACGRAAGTCTTAAGAAAGCCAGCCGCTRCCTCAGATGACAGCTGTAAGAGACCCAGCTTCAGACAACAGGCTTCAGATACAAAGTCTCAGACAAGTATTCAGAGACCCAGCCTCAGACGACATTCTTCAGAGACCAGCCTCAGACGACAGTCTTAAAAGACCCAGCCTCAGTCAAAAGTCTTAAAAGACCCTGCCTCAGTCAAATGTCTTATGAGACCTAGCCTCAAACAGTCTGCAGAAAACCAGCCTCAGATGTCAGTCTTCAGAGACCCAGTCCTAGATGTCATTCTTCAGAGACACAGCCTCGGATGACAGTCTCAAGAGACCCAACCTCAGATGACAGTCATAAGAGACCCAGCCTCAGACGACAGTCTTAAGAGACACAGCATCGGACGACAGTTTTAAGAGACCCAGTCTAAGACAGTCTTCAGAGACACAGCCTCAGACGACAGTCTTAAGAGACCCAGCTTCAGGGACCGTCTTCAGATACCCAGCCTCAGACAAGTCTTCAGAGACCCAGCCTCAGACAACATTCTTCAGAGACCCAGCCTCAGATGACATTCTTCAGAGACCCAGCCTCAGACGACAGTCTCAAAAGACCCAGCCTCAGTCAAAAGTCTTAAGAGAACCGGCATCAGGTGGCAATTTTCATACACACAGCCTCAGACGGCAATCTTAAGAGACCCAGTTTCAGATGTCAGTCTTCAGACACACAGCCTTAGATGACAGTCATAAGAGACCCAACCTCAGACGACAGTCTTTAGAGACCTATCCTCAGACAGTAGTTAAGAGACCCAGCCTCAGACGACAGTCTCAAAAGACCCAGCCTCAGTCAAAAGTCTTAAGAGAACCGGCATCAGGTGGCAATTTTCATACACACAGCCTCAGACGGCAATCTTAAGAGACCCAGTTTCAGATGTCAGTCTTCAGACACACAGCCTTAGATGACTGTCTTAAAAGACCCAAACTCAGACGACAGTCTTTAGAGACCTATCCTCAGACAGTTGTTAAGAGACCCAGCCTCAGACGACAGTCTCAAGAAACCCAGACTCAGACAACAGTCTTCAGAGACACAGCATCGGACGAGAGTTTTAAGAGACTGTGCCTCAGACCACAGTCTTCAGAGACCCAGCCTCAGACCACAGTCTTCAGAGACCTATCCTCAGACAGTTGTTAAGAGACCCAGCCTCAGACCATAGTCTTAAGAGACCCAGCCTCAGACCACAGTCTTTAGAGACACAGCATTAGACTACAGTCTTAAGGGACCCAGCCTCAGACCACAGTCTTTAGAGACACAGCATTAGACTACAGTCTTAAGGGACCCAGCCTCAGACGACAGTCTTAAGAGACACAGCATCAGACGACAGTCTTAAGAGACACAGCATCAGACGACAGTCTTAATAGACACAGCATCAGACAACAGTCTTAAGAGACACAGCATCAGACAGTTGTTAAGAGACCCAGCCTCAGACCACAGTCTTCAGAGACCTATCCTCAGACAGTTGTTAAGAGACCCAGCCTCAGACCACAGTCTTAAGAGACCCAGCCTCAGACCACAGTCTTAAGAGACCCAGCCTCAGACCACAGTCTTAAGAGACCCAGCCTCAGACCACAGTCTTAAGAGACCCAACCTCA